AGTTTCTTCCAAAATGATGAAGGCAAAGAACACTATTATTTTATTTTCCTTCTTTTATCCTGCCTGTGTCAGTAATAGATATAAAATGAAATAAATTTTATGTAATCTTTTGACTTCTTCTTTTATTTTTTTGAGAGAGATTTTTGTTTTGGGTATATGTACTCGCTTGAGAGACAGAGATAAAGTGAGAAATCACCCCCTACCCCCAGCAGAGATGGCCATGCTGCAGTCCTTTCTCATCCATTCTCCTCTAGAGGTTTTCAGTATGTATATACATATGCCCAGCATAAATTTTAAGCCATTGGGTCCAGGACTTGAACTGCTGTTGGCCGTGTGGGAGTCCAGTGACATAATCACTAGGCCATCTACTTCTAATATGGGTGTTTTCTTAAAACTTTTCAATGGAAAACAGAGTTTATGCTTACAAAAAAAGACAGGGTATCTTTATCTGTGTTATCATTATCTAAGAACCTTAATTATTTTCTGGATTATGAATCAACCTCAGCATAACTTCATGGTTAAGTTAATGATAAGGCCAAAAATATGCCTATATATTCTGACATCTGCACTCTTATAATTCCAGTTTCCATTAAGTGTTGCATGGAGTATGCTTTAATAGACATCAACTCTTTCTTGATTCTACCATTGCCTTCTATTTAATAAAGCAATGGATAGTTGCAAGGTAGTTAAGAAATGGGGATATTTAAACATACTGGATATTGGTAAAGTACTGGAAATAACAGGTCACTGATGTAATTTTATCTTTACAAATAATACAAAGAACTGCAGTATAAATGGATGCTGAGCTAAATTTTTGTTTTAAACTATTTTAATTTTTTTTTCTTATCAATGATAAAGATCCATCATTGCCATACATCTTCTTTGTTTCTCTGGCTAGATAGGCTGGCATGTTATTTTTGCACCAACTAAAAGAATCTGATTTTGGAATACGTGGTGAAAATGTGAGCAAGAGTAATTGGGAGAAACATAGGTGCTCAGTGTAAGGGTGATCTGACTTGGGATTCTCTGTCTTTTTCAGAAAAGTCTCATTTCCTTGCATACATTTTGGGATGCAAGGCCACCGGTAGAGATGGTGAGTATGGCTGCAATATGACCCTGGGCCATAAAACAAACAGATTCCATGCATTTTCTACAATGACCACACTGGTGGGGTTGGGGAGGCACTGACTGCTTCCGTCCAATAACAAGCCTCATAAATAATAGTGACTCTGAGCTGTATACAGCTCCCAGCTATTGTTGTTCAGTGTGAAGGTCCTTCTCCTGGTCACGTTCCCTATTTGTTAATTCTTTCTGCTTAACCCAGTTAGGACACCTGCCTGCCATGTCTGGATCCACATGGATTTTTTTACCTCTACAGTAGAAGACTGAGCACCAGAAAGGCTTCTTCATGCAATCTACCCATAGCAGTGCAAGTTCTCCATCTCCATCATTCCTCAAAGTGTATTATTCAGGTTCTCATGTGAGTTACTTTGACCATATCAAAATCCAGCAGTGGAGACTACCTACCCCAGAAGAGGCATTTTGTCTATGTGAAATAAGGGGCCATTTTGGAGGAAGAAGTAGTATGAATATCATTAGAAGTACCTACTCTGAACAGAAAAGGCCATTTTGGACAATGTAAGTTTGGGACCTGGTGAGTGAGGAGTGAATGCACAATGTAAAAAAAGGGACTCTACAAAGGGAAGGGGCCTAGAAGGAAAGATGTTTTGCTTCTTTTCCTGTGTGAGCAGCTGGTGTGTCTTGTAAAGACTCATGGGGGCCCTTTATATGGTGTTTGGAAAGCTGTATATCTCAGGCTTATCCCAGCTCTCCAAGTTCATTTTGGATTTTATATTCTTATCCAATCCTCACCTTAGGAGGAAAGAAGGGAGTTCTGTGACAGGAGCACAGATGGCAAACATCAGCTTGTCAGGGGAAGGACGGGAGGTCAGCCACTGCTGTCTTGTTTTCTTCTCTTCTCTCCTCAGCTTCTTCGGTTCAATTCTCTTAACTTACTCTATTTCAGTAAATGTCCATTCCTTGCCCATCCTGAGTGTCTCCTATAAAATAAAACTACTTAGAAGATGAATACACATAGGAAATCAGTGCTTTTCTCTCCTTACAAAGAAAGAAAAACATTAACATCATCTGAAAGAACTTTTAGAAGGTAAGATAAGATCACGTATAGGTGTGCCGTTTCCACTTAAGGAATGGTCTTTTGGAAGGAATCTTTTGGAATATCTCTCAAGAGAGACTTCCTGGTTGCCATAGACTTAAAGCTAAAGGGAAAGGAAGTAATGACCTCTAACCAGAAGCAATTCCATGTTAAATCACAATAAAACAAACAAACAAAAAATGGCAAACATAAATAATTGATTCCTTTATGTCCTCACTTCAAAAGAAACATACTAACCTATTCGGTACTGACTAATGTATGTATCATACTGTCTAAAAATAATAATAATCATTTTAAAACAACATGTACCAAACACTATAAGGACTTTTTCATGCACACGTATCCTCTCAACAACCTAATGAGACAGGTACTCTTCATTAACATCTAATTTTACAAAATGACGGAACTAAGGCAAAGAAAGTTGTGTCACTTTCTACACAGCTAGTCCAGATGTTTTGAAGATTTAAAATCATGCCGTTTACCCCCAGAGCACGGGCCTTGAGACATTACTTTGTACCCTGCTTCTGTAACTGCCACCTTCCTTCTAGCTCCAAATCTTTTTTTTTTTTTTTGAGAGGTTTTCACTATAGGGCGCGTGTGCTCGCCAGACAGACAGAGAGAGACATAGAGACAGAAAGCGAGAAATCACCCCCCAGGGGGGATGGTCATGCCACAATCCCTTCTCCTCCATTCTCCTCTCGGGATCTTGGGCACGCACGCACACGCACCTGGCGTGAGTTTTAGGCCACCGGGTCCAGGACGCAAACCGCGGTCGACTACATGGGAGTCCAGCGACATAGCCATTACGCTAACTGCTGGTTCCCACTATCTCCAAATCTTGATCCATGCCAATATTTTTACAAAGGCAACAAGTCTCTCTAAAGGTAAAAATTCTATTTTGGTGATAATATTCACAAACATCTGCCAA